AGATGCATCCCCAAGCACCTCGCTCTATATTTTTCTCTTCCTTTTGCGTGCCGGCGCTTTTGAAATTCTCATTTCTGACCAGGACTGATGATGATGTTGGTAATAAGCCCATGCAGTGTTATCAAGCCTCCTAATAAAAAGACTGGAGGCCATATAGGCTTGTTCTCTCTTCCTGTCCTACTTCTTTTGTGTTGGTGAGCGCTTGCTACCAGGAAGCCCAGAGAAAGAAGACAGGCCACAAAATGGGCATAATGACGCACAATAGGGGAACAGGACGAGGAGAAAAAAACAAAAACATGTGTTATGCACCTTACTATGGAACCACCAGTGGATAATTGAGTCATCCTTGGCCGTATTGGTATATGAAATATTCAAGCCATCAAAAGTACTTTTTCTTTTTCGGTGGTGATTTAATTATATGTTTATGTCACTTGGGAGAATAGAAAATGGGTTTGCTACTGCTATATCATGCATTAACATGACTGCTTGAGCATAAATGTGATGAACATGTCTCAAACAGCTTTCTGGGGAGAGGAAAAAAATCATTTGATATTGATGGCTTGCACTGAATAGGTTGCGTCCATGTTCATAACATTTGGACACAAGTGGCAATATGAATAGTATATGGGAAAGAATCCATTTATGGCCGATGTTTTCCCAGATCATGCATTATGTGATGTGAGTGGATTCACAAACTTACTTCTACATTATTATTATGTCTGAAAGTGTCATGATTGTCATTTTTAGTTCCTGTTTTATTTTGTAATTGTCTGTTCTCCTGTGTTTTACTTCCTGTTCTGTTGATGACCTGCCCCGCCCTGATGTGTTACCCCTGTGTCGCCCGGTTCAATTCCCTGAGCTCTTTCCCTCTTGTTGTCAGTCCATTGAATGTTTGTTCGGTGGTTCTTGTTTCGTCTTCAGTTCCTGTGGTTTTACAGATTTGATTTTTGGATTCTTGTTGATTAAATGATATTATTTATGCAGTATTTAATTTTGGATTCTTCCTTCTTTCCACCACGTAACAGAAAGGCCTTTTCCACGGGCCAATATCGTGCATATAGAAGGTCCTGGGTTCAAATACCGGTCTGAACAGCATTTCATTTTTTTCCCTAGCCAATAAAAAAGACATATACAGTAGGTAACATCTTCCGATCTGGAGACGGGCCCCAGGCGCTGCTCACTACTGCTCCTGGCAGAGGCCCTGGTGCCATAGGAAGGACGGGTCAAATGCAGAGGACAAATTTCCTTCCAAGACCATAAGGTACTGTATATCTTCCTTTACCTTAAATCTTAATAATACTGTCAACCCCTGTTTTAGACAGCTATTAATGAGGAATGTGTGGATTGGCCCTGGAATTACAAAGACATTTGTTCTCAGACTAGAAGTCTAACTTTGAACACTTAGTTCTTTCCATGGAAAGAGCCGTCCACATTTATAATTTTAAAGGCATATTTTGTAATTCTGTTTCTAAACTAAATGCATTGATGCAAATCGTCAAACACTCAGAGACAAGAGTCCTATGATTGAGCTCGATCTTAAGTATCAACGATAGTGATATTTGCAATATATGACTCTTGGTTTCTCTGAGCACACTTAACAATGATGTCAGTGATTTATATTGTATTTCATATTTCATAGTATATAACGTGTGTCCAGTCGGCATAACTACCACTGCTAAGATTTGCTGCAGTAGAATAGTTAAAACAATGACGAGGAGCCTCAAGGTTTTGTGTTCATGTTGACTGGAAGCTTCGGGGTGAGCATGGGCAAATCTAACCAGTGCTGTCTTCAAAATGTTTCACTCCATCTTCCTCGTTTGAAAGAAGATTCGGAGATTCACTTTAAAACTACTGCAGGCGAACAAAAACTTAAAATATGATTCAAAAGTCCTTTACTCAGGATTTACTTCAGTGGTAAATCCTCCTCACAATTTTTTTTATTTTGTGATTTGAGGTATTGAATGTTCACTCAGCTTGTAAAAACATGTACACAATAATAATACATTTATATATGGGAGACTTTCATGGAATGGACAGTAAACCATTATCATCCATAACAAAGGCTTTGCAAATAACTGGTCTGTATCATATATTGGCCTCAGTGTTTTAAAGAAATATATGAACTTTTTTTATATAAATTTTTTTTCTGAGTTTCACCTGTGTATCATGTCTCAGTGCATCTTATGAGCATCAGTTTATCTTGGATTTCATTACGATGGAAAAATGCCGTCCCCATAAATGTACGTGTTATTATTCTCCTGAGCTTTTCCCTCAAAGAATCTTTCATTTAATTGCTCCCATCAATATGACGTGGTGCCACTCCTCCCATGCATCTTCTCCAACGCTCACCTGCGAATCTCACAACCCGCTTTATTGTGCTCTTATCCCCACTTTAAAATGATGATACATGTTTCTCCCTTAATCCTCACGGTGTTTAGATACTGCTGCAAAACCACTGGTGCTATTCGCGGCATATGAGCATAAACCATGATGAATGAGCAACTAGCAAAAAGTAATAAGTCAGTGGGAGAGGTTCACTTGGAAAAACACCAGGGGAGGTAATTACTGCAATTTCACTGTGCAAGCGCCGGGTTCACCAAGTCACGGCACACACTTTTTGTTCTCTTTAGTCCTGCGAGACCACCCATACACTCAAACGCATTCAGACACAAGAACAAATTGTTATATGCAATACATAAATTCAAATAGATTCAGCTGCATGCATAAAGAAAAGCGTTGGCTATGCATGTTTTAAAGAATAACTATTACGCATTATTTCTGGGGCATTATAATCATATTAAGATTATATACTTGGTCGGCACGGTAACTGAGTGGATAGAACTCTTGCTTCTCAGATAGAAGTTCCTGGGTTCGAATACCAGTCGCAACAGAAACTTTCTGAGTGGAGTATGCGTGTTTCGAGTTTTATCCATGTTGATGTAGAAGGGTCTAAGGACAGTGGCGGACATTTATTAACATTTATGGACATTGGTCATCGGCCTCTTATGGACCAATGGAGCATGTGTTTGTTATTGTTGCGTTACTTAGAGGGAATAATTTTGTTTTAAGAAGTAGAAAGTAGGTAAGTCTGATAGTGGTACAATGACATCATACTTTTACAGGACTGATGTTGGTTTGGATAGATCTAAAAACACTAGGCATGTTTTTGATGAGAAACAATGTTGTAGCACGTTTAAACCTTTTTATTATATCGGTAATCACAAGTAAATCATGTTTTTAACATGATTTACTCATTGTCATTGAAAGCATGGACGTGGACAAACTGTGTCAAAGTGTTTTAAAAGTCATAGAACAACTTCAAAGGCTGAAGGAGCTGCCTCCTGACCAGGAGGTGCAGGCGCTCACCTCTGCAGCTCTCTGAATGTTCAGCAGAGAGATTAACATGCTCTTCTTCACTAAACTCCACAGATAATTGCAATTATTCTCACTCTGCTCCACTTTCAGGGACGCCGTAAAATAGCAGTTATACTTAACATGTTTGAGTGAGACTCGTATGAGGCTTAGGTTTCAAAGATTCTGAACTTGAAGTAGCTCAAGAGGACCGGCTGTTGAAAAACATCTTGATGTGACCTGTTTCTTCATTGGAACCAAATGATAATGAATTTTTGTCTTTCAGCTCAGTACAAATCAATTTAATACATTTTCTCAGCTAATAAGTATTTCATAAATTATAAATTTATCATTGAAATTATAAATTTATCATTGAAATGTATCACTGAAACAATTGTCTTACCTAACTTTCATGGAGGTGTGTAATACAATCTAGTAGTAGTTGCTAGCTCTAAAACTGTTTGCTTCTATGACTAGTTTTCACATACATCTGTTTCTGAGTCTCGGTCCTATCTTCAGATGAGCTTTTTCAGACAAAAGAGGGAGGTGGGACCTCTCCTTTTCAGCTCTCAGCCAAAGCATCTAATAGCCTCATATAGGCTCTTTCTTGCAGTTTACAAAAATAGTGTGGTCTTTTTCTGTTGAGACAGACCTAATGAGCAGTTATATTCCAAGCTTTAATGATAAAGCAGGGAAGACAGAGAGTCACATATTGGCACACCTCTACAGTAGTACTGCACATCGCTGCCTGATCCCCGAGTTCTTCTCGGTGGGTCATGTCTTGTGGCCTTGTCTTCTGTAGCATGTCTTCTGTAGCATGCATATTCAGCCATTTTAACACTTTCTCTTGACTCGCCCTGTGGTGCTGCACATCTGGCACACTTCCAGAGGCATCAGAACCGGCCCCCGCTGTGATCACAGACAAGATTCTACTCCAAGTTGTAAAGCAATTGTGTGTTCAACAGCCTGTCAGAAATGCTTCTACTAGATTACGATGTCCGGCCGGATTGCACCCTTGCTCTTTATGAATGTTCAAAAGGTTAATTTTAGGTCACTGTATAAAGATGGAATAGAATGTACTCTTTCTAATGTGTTAAAATATTCTTGCTTTTACTACACTGTTCTATTATTATCTAGAACAAAACGTTTGACAAACTGCAAAGAGTTAGTCTATTCCTTCAAAATGTTCCACTTTAAAACGAACACTTTCATATTTATTATTAGATGACAGCCAGTGAGCTATAAATACCCACTGTCACTTGCTCTAGTCTATTTTAAACTGAAAGTAACACAACAAAATGACTGAAAATGTCTTTTTTAAAACAACTTTCAAATCCTATGACCTTCATGTTCCAGTTTAAAATGATCGCAATTTAAGAGCGTGCGAGTAAGAGCCACCAAACAATTACAGATGGCCATGACGCGCTGGAGGAGCTCTGATGGTTGTCATCCTGTGATTCACAGATGAGAAATTTACACTTTTTATAACAAAAGAGCGTGTACTGGAGAACATTAGCTGCACAACTCAATCTGCAGCACCTGGAGCTTCTCTGGTTCTATGCTGATGGCTGACTGACCTGGAAGGACTTGTACAGTGTCCAAACAATCAGGCATGCCACAGGTGAAGAGGTACATTTCTGAGCACTCAAATGAATAAAAGCCCCTACATTGTTGTCTATGCGGATGCGGTGCAGTCCAGGTGATGTACTGAGCATTTGGAACTGTTTCATGAACTTATTAGTCATGTAACAAAATGATGGGGGCTCACAGCTGCAGCTCAATTTTTGTCGTTTTTCTCATTTATCTTTAACAGTTTCTCAAGATTTATTAACGCAGCGCAGACGCAGCGCAGACGCAGCGCAGACGCAGCGCAGACGCAGCGCAGACGCAGCGCAGACGCGACGCAGCGCAGACGCAGCGCAGACGCAGCGCAGACGCAGCGCACACGCAGCGCAGACGCAGCGCAGACGCAGCGCAGACGCAGCGCAGACGCAGCGCACACGCAGCGCAGACGCAGCAACGTACAAGGGGCTGGATCCAGATCCCTGTTTCTGCACATGCAGTACACTCCGTGGAACCAGTAGTTTGTGTTTGAATGCAGCAGTATCATCGCCGGAGCAGATTTGTTGTAAACATATCACTGCAGCGACTGTGCTCTTTGAGTAAAGAGAGAAACAAGTTAGATACATACAAATACAGCCACACACAGACCCCATATACCATCACTTCAGCCATATACCCAATGCTAGTCTCAGCCTCTTTCTTTTCACGTTTTAGTCATGTATTCTACATTTGGCATGTGCATGTACAGGTATGTAGCCTGTGCGACCATGGAGCTTTGCATGAAAATGTGAGCATACTTATTATGAAGCTGGTGTGAGCAGAAGGATGTGTGTCCACATAATGCATGGGCACTGGGAGCACGCCTCAGTGTTCCATGCATAAAAGACCTCAGTGATTTACACTGTCAGGGTACATACTGTATATACAGTATGTACATACTGTATATACTGTGTACATACTGTATACCTGCCACAAGTTTAGATTGTGTTTTGGCTTTATATATTAGACAGGGCTTTTAAAAATGGAACACGGTAGATCAGGCATGTCAAAGTCAAATACATCAGAGGGCCAAAAAAACAAATTTGCTGCAAGCCGAGGGCCGGACTGGTTCAATGTTTATTAACTCATTGCCTGCCAGCCTATTTCAGAACAGGTACTCCCATATTGCCAGCAGTTTCTGATGATTTTTAAAGATTTTTCAAGACCCACAGAATATTGTGTACTATGACTATCTGAAATCCGAAACCAGATTCTGAAAGAATAGATTGTCTACTTTCATCAGCAAAAATAATTTTGTTTCTAGCTTGTAATCCCCAGTTGAGTAGAGGGAAGTTTTACTGAAATCACCAAAAAGCTGAGAAAAAAGAGGCACAGCAAGTGCATCTAGCTGTTTTCAAACCATTCAGAGAGCGCTGCTGCCACCTGCTGGCTCGATTCAATATGCTCTCAAGCTTATCCCCAAACATATTAGATATAATAGACATCTGGGAACATGAAAATAGCGGAAAACGCAATTGACGTAATAGTGCGTCAATGGCAGGCAACGGGCCATGTAAAATTCATTGGCGGGCCGGATTTGGCCCGCGGGCCTTGACTTTGACACATGTGCGGTAGATTTTAATGACTTAATCCCTCATTTTTTATCAGTGTCTGTAGTTCATAGATCTGTGCTCTGTCAATGTTGATGCAATATGCTCAGGAATTGCACATACAAAACAGCAGTCTAAAAACTATAGATCTTGACTTAATGGAGGCTGTGCTGGTTAAAATGCCCAACGGGAGCTAAGAGCTATAGACTTTTGACATCCAAAGAAACATGGCTTGTCAGTGCATGGACTGCTGCCTGAGCAGACCAGGCAGACGTAAGCAGATGGACTTTAACATCCCTCGCGATCAAACACACAAAATTCATGGGTATTTGAGAGGGTGAAGCTGATCTCTGAGGGAGACGTAGAGCCAGAGGGGAGAAACAAACAAGAATCGCCACAGGAGGTCAAAAGCATGCTGTATGTATCTGTGGAGACAGGCTGGCGATAGAACGCAAAGATTATTAGTTGGCATGGAAGGTTTTTTGTTTTTATTCCTGTTTTTGTATTCCTGTCTAATGTGCTTTTTCAAGGGTGTCCTGAGTCTGTTACTTGGCCCACATATCCTGAATACAACTCTATATGTTCTTGTGGAGACATCACTGACTGGAAATTACACAACATCTGGTTGTACGTGTAAGGCTTAATGTAACCCGGGTCAATTCAAACAAGGCCCAGCAGATTGGTAATGTGTCAGACCGGCCCACAGACAGACATGTTCGCCTAAATAGCATATTGATCGGTGAACACGTCTCAAAGCGTATAATTGATGAGGTTAAGGAGCTCAGACTTGCATGTATGGTGACAGCTGAAGAGGTAGTAGTTTGTTTGAGGCCAAATAATGGACGACATTGTATTCTTATATGCGCATATTTGATTTACTTGCCACTAATGAGGCTTCACTGTCTTGCTCCTAACTGCACCCAGGCTACATTTTAAAATGCTGGCCAAGAGTAGACCAGCATCATAATGTTTATGTTGAATCGATAGAAATATTTCACTGTGTTCTCAGAGAAATTTTAATAAGTCTGAGAATGCATAAACTATGGCAGCAATCAATAGTGAGCTTTTGGGTTATTAATATGATCGAGCAACTTGTTGAATTCACATTCATGCTGTTTGCAGGAAGAGCTCTCGATATGTCAAGGATAGATTGTTTGGGTGATAGCTGTACTTTTAATTCATTTTCCCTTTTTCATCATGGTCCGTCTCCAGACTTCACCGCCTTCACCTCAGTTGAGGAAGTTAAGAGCATGTCTTGAGTTGTATTCTTCTGTGTTGTCCTTGTTTACCAGGATTATATGCAACCACTCTGTGTAATAGTAGCTCAGTTGGTAGAGCATTGGCCTTTGGGCCTGAAGGTCGTAGGTTCAAGCCCACCGTAAGACCTACTTCACGACTCCCACTGATGACTGCTGTCATTGTAACGTTGGGCAAGACACTTAACCCCAGTTTGCCTGAAGCTCCTACTGAAAGATCTCAGCTCCTGTGGACTCACCACCTGCAGGAGGATCAGTGAGGGGCTGGTGCTAAGTGTACTGGGTGCAGCTCTGACTGCCACCCCCCCGACCCAAAAATGGATTAAGGGGAAGAAAATGGATGGATGGCACTCTGTGTAGTTGCTTGCAAAGTGTAAGATGTATTGTATAAACAGGGGATATTGAACTATTTCACAAGTTGACAGCCAAAAAATGGTCAGGGGTTTCTCAACTGATTTAGACTAATGTTGGTGTTCTGAGTCCGAATATCACATGCATTTTGCTCTATCAGGTCAACTTTTTGAGATACAGCCATAGTGTTACGGATCATGTACGTCTACGTTATTATGAATTCTGCTTATCAAATTTGATGGAGTCAATAAAAACTGAATGACTTTGGATACGTTGACTTTAATTTCTTGAGGAAAACGGAAAAAACGTCAAGGGTTTCTCAGCTGATGATCCGCATTAGTTTTTTACGCAAAATCAATTAAAAAAAATATTTCTGTAGCAAAAAATCCTGACCTGATTGAGCAAAACCAAGGTCATTTTCGGACTCAGAGCATCACAATTAGTCTAATTCAGCTGGAAAACCCTGGACTATTTTCCAAAAATATTTTTTTGTTACCCAGTGTTTTCACAGACTGCCATGGTCACTTTTAGCTGTGTCATAATTCACCCAACACTACATCTGTTTGAGAAGGCCAGGCACAGATCACACACAAGGCAACTCGAAGTGCAAATCAGGAACAGAAATTCAAATTATAGAAGACGTTTAAATAATCCCCGTTAGAATCCTTCAGTTGTATGGACGGCTAAACAAAACTGTTGTGACCTGCAATTTCAAACATTGATACATTGGGGAGACGTCTCACATTTTCTGGAAGACTGTTTCATGTTTTAGCTATACAAGAATCTGAAATTATGCCAAAACAGCAACATTGCGCTGCCAAGTGGCCAAAGCAGTTAGAATTACACTAATCCAGATAAGATAAACTTTTTTCGTTCCACAGTGGGGAACCTTTGGTAACCTTTGGTAACCAGAGCTGTCAGAGAATTTAAACCCGTTAAAAAAAAAAACTAAATCCATACTTTTTAAATTACGATACTGAAACAAGCCGCAGATAAGAATTTTTGAGAGGCTCTGTGTGGATCAGGGCTGATGTTGTATGGTCAGACTCACCTGATATGGCCTTCTGTTTCCAAAAATACAAGAGTGAGTATTTTCTGTGTGTTTACATGGCAGACAGGAAAATTGGACAATTGGACAAAAAAAAAATCAATTCATCAAAGAGCACCAAAGCCTGTGCACATGAAATGAGGTGTCGCAAATCAATTCCCCCAAACAGCTGTTGGACCTCTTGCAGTAAGACCGACCTCTGATGGCAAAGACGTCGGACTTTGTTAGTGTTGTGTAGTTCATGATCTCTTCTCACGGGAATGCAGTTTGACTAGTGTGTAAACAGTTGTTTTATGTCTGTGCAGAAGGTGAAACGACTACTTTACACAAACATACTTTGCTGTTTGTACTGCTGGAGCTACGCGTGCACGGTTCTTCCAAACGATGAAGACCTAACCCCTTCCTGTTTGATGTGAGATTCTCTGTAGCATAAAGTAAGCCCCGGGCAGCTCTTTTAACAAGGCTTTTTTTGACGTGTCTGTCTCACACACACATCCACACATCTCCAGGAAGACGAACGCTTTTTTCCAGAAGTTCAAAGTTTGATCATATTTTCATCCACATTGTGAAGAGATAAAAAACACTTTGAATCATTTGCTTTGACAGTCCAGCCTTATATAATATCTGCTATTCAAGTCACGGCTTGGAAGAAAAACTATTCAGGTCTTGTTTATTTCTTCATGATGCATTTACATCATGCGGCAGGGTGGCTGAGTGGATAGCACTCTCGCCTCTCAGCAAGAAGGTCCTGGGTTCGAATCCCGGCTGGACCAGGGCCTTTCTGAGTGGAGTTTGCATGTTCTCCCTGTGTTCCTAAAAATGTCATCCGCTCTCAACATTTCAAGTTATGCAGCTCACTGACACAAAAACAGCCAACAGACAAACGCTGGTGATCACTTTTGCTCCTGGTGGAGGTAAATTATTATTATATATACATGTGTATAAAAAAAATGCCAAAGATGCTGTTGCAGGTAAAATACTAAAGAGATAATAAAATACATCTGATATGCTCCTTCCTTTTGAAATTATTATGGTGCATTAATATATTTTCCAGACCAAGAATACATCATTGGTAATTTTTCTGCATGCTAACCAAACCAAGGACACATGTCTGTGGCCATTTGGAATGACTTGTGCAGTGAGAGATGACTTGGACGCCTGATAAAGTGATAGCTTCTGTGTTGTATTCTGCCCCTTTCAAATATGACAGGTGGGTGTTTCTGGACTGCTTAACTTATACAGGTCAAATAAGTTACATCTCTCCAATAAATTCAAAATAAGTGTCCCCTACACCTCACGTTTATTGGACTGTATCAGATTGTTCTTTGCTGCAACAAGTATAAGTTATTTTCCATCATGCCTTTGTTATGATGACAGCTTGGGCACAATCACGTCTGTAACCAACTCATTTCTACTTCTAAGCTGTAGTCCTAATGAGCAGTTCCTCACTGACTGTGTGACCCAGAGGTGTGTAAGTTGTGTGGGAAGCCTGGCGTTTACACATAAGTGACGCACATTAGAGCAATGAGCTTCTTATATGAATAGAAGTATGTGAAAAGATAATGATAACTCATGTGTTCTTGTGGGACTGTTGCATATTTTTTGAAAAATAAGTACGTTTGCATTCATGTGTCACTGGGTACGCAATGATGGCCTGCAAAAGTACTAATACAACTGTAACGTTGGCCCTTTCACCTTCACTCTGTGGATCAGCTCACCCCAAAACCATCTGGATTGGGTTCAGGTCCGTGACTGTGGAGGCCAGGTCATCTGGCCCGGCACCCACCACTCTCCTTATTGGTCAAATAGCCCTTACACAGCCTGGGTGTGAATCTACAGTCAATCGTTATTAAAAAACAAGGCAAGTTTATTTGTATGGCACAGCTCATACACAAGGAAACATGAACAAAGTGCTTAATCAAACAAGATTTTGTAAGAAACAATCACACAAGGCAATAAAGGGAAGCCTGTGCAGAGACCGGAGAACTGGTCTAATGTGATTGTACTATTTGGTTCTAGTCAGGACTCAAGGTGCAGCTGAATACTGCTGCTGTTTGGTCGGTCCTTTGGAGAGACCTCCTGGAGACAAATGCATGACAAGGAATCTCCAAGTCTGCTCTAGATACAATATTGTTTATTTGGTAAAAAATAAAGTGATGGTAAATTACAGTTTATGTTTCTGATTTAATGTGAGTTAGGACTTTTACTTCTAGATTTCTAAGTAGAAGGTTTGAAGGAGAGACTGGAGGTGAACATAACAATAATTTTCTTCCTGTGGTGGAGGTGAGGGACAGGAGGGTGCTAGTCAAAGTCACCCACTGCACAGGACTGAAGAGGAGCTGAGGAGCTCCTTCAGTGGAAGACTGATGCACCCTCAGTCCCCACCGCTGTCAGACTGTACAATAAGACTGTCACAAATGACCTGCACTAGGACTGAAAAAACCCACACTGCTATAGCCACTCTTTATTGTACATAATATCCTGCGCAAAGAGACTATATTTTGAAACTTGAAACATGTTTGCACACTTCCTGTCTTTTTTGCACAACCTGAGTGATACTATCTATACCAAATGTGAAATGCCTCCATTGTGAGATTCATAAAGTTTATCTTTTCTTATCTTATCTTACCTTTCTGAGACATAGATCTGAGTGTCGTCTGCATAGTTGTGCCAGGACGCGTTGTTACTGAGAATTAGTGACTGAACAGCAGCATGTAGAACAGATGAGGTCCCAGGATTGAACCCTGAGGCACTCCTCAGTTCGGGCCATACGATCTGAGAGAGTTTCCAATCCTGACAGAGTACTTCTACTTCATACCATTCCATCATCCATGGAAAATTGGATAAGATGACTGAAACTGAAGGTTGCACAACTTATTGATATGATTTATTTCTTTTTTCAAACTAATGGCAGATTAAGGGAAAGAATAGTTGCAAGATCTTTAAAAAAAAAAACTGCTCAGAAAGTTTCTGTTTTATCTGAGCGGTCTTTTTAACACTTTTTCCTCCATTTTAGTGTAATGTTAACAATAACTTTGCAATTTCTCCACTGTGGACGAATAATGGTCTATCTTATCTTATTGAACAAGGGCAATAAGTGACATAAATAACTCAACATTTATATGAAATAGAAATTAGATGCCTGTAGCATAAGACTCAGTTCAACGGACACGTGAAACACAGCTTCAGGCGCAGGGAGCAGAGCACCAGGCAGCGTCATGGCAGTTTTTATATATGTTTTTTATGTTGATATTACTAATTATCCCAGAGAGTTTATACAATATTTATTTATATATTCATTGTATGAGCATGTAACTAAAACATGTGAAAATTACAAGAAATTCCCACACTCGGAATAAGGCCTCATTAGTTAATTACTCTCCGTTAGTTCTCTTTTATACAAAGGACTCAATATTGTCAATACATTATTCATTTCAATCTGGAGAGACGAGGAAACAAGAATGCCTTTGAAGTATTTTATTGAGAGGTAGTTTGGCGCCCTAGGCCCCGGTGCGGCGTTCAGTCAGCGAGGCTCCTGCGAGAGTGCGCGCACAATCCCCCGGGACCTAGGCACTGGTGGCGGCATTTGGCAGCAAGAAGCAGA